TACAATCTCACAGCAATATGCACGGGCTGCGGCTTTTTTTTTCTTTCTGGAGATCCTCTGAAACGCACCACATTGACCAACCACACGAAAAGCTACCGTAGCTATTCAGTGGACTGGAAATCAGAGCGAGAATGTGCTGGGTGATCCGGTTACTAAGAATCTGGAAACGTAAGTTACGTTTCACCTCCGTTACGGCCTCTCCTGGAACCCTGCCCGAGGCATAGCACGGAGCCCATTAGTCATTCTCCTGAGAGGTATGTACTAGAGAAGCCACGCAGTCTATATTCCCCCCCATTTCCAACCATAAAGGATCATTCATTCATTCATGATCCCCCTTCCTGAACCCTCACTGTAAGGCTGAAGAAACCCTATGATGATTACTACTGGCATGCATAGACAATACTGTCACTTTAACGTTTTATTAGAAAGCATGCACACTGTGAAATGAAAATAAGAGAACAGCCTAAGTTTATTTTTATTATTCGACACAGGAGGTGGCAAAGCTTTCTGCTGGACATGCATGAACCATGAGGGGCTGCAGATGGGTCTACCTCTCATTACCTCAGTCCATCACTTCAGGCCATGCCGTCAAACATTTTAGACATTTGTAGTTGTGATCGATATCTGACGTTTTAGTTTTGCCCCGCAGTGTCATGTGTCACAGGGCGCGACTGGAATATATCTGTGAATCACAGGGTGCGTTATTTCAGTGACAGCAGGTCCTCGAGTTGTTAAGAGCCAGGTCGGGTCCAGTTTCAGTTGGAAATGTACACCAGAGGCTATTTCGAGTACCTCAGGAGGATCAAACCGCCCCAAATATTTGAACAAATGAATTACCTCTTTCTAAATATGACCAATAAAGCGTTTTTAAAAGTCAACGCAGTGCGTTAGATGAGAAAAAGAGACACCTGTCCTATCCACAGAGCTTAAAACTTGTGGAAACATTTTAAAAATGATTGAGGTAGCACTGCTGGACAGTGGCGTTCAATTACTAGAGGTTATAGACTGTAAGCTGCCAGAGAGCCATGAGTAGTGCAGCAGAAGTAATGCGAGCATGCTCCACATTTGTAAATCTCTGATTCCATGAGGACCAAAATGGACACTGGCTATTGTCCAGAAAGTCTGATCCAATGACTACATCCATCTTAGCCATCTAATCTGCCCTCTGGCTCTGAATGAATTACATCTACACTTAATAGACTGGTTATGTGTTTTTCTTAGTATGCTAAATTAACTGCATAGTTGCTGTACACTGCCCTTTGAAATATGCCAAATGGCTCCAAATATACAAGTCTAAAGTTTAGAGCCTGAGAGGTTCTTTAGTAAACACCTTATGAATGAATAGAGCAGGTGAAATTTGAGTAGAAATATAGAGGATGCGTTAGAGAGATAGTCAGTTCTGATAAGTGGTCAGGCCTCATAAGTTGGGTCATTTCATAGATAGTCCATTATGCTGATCAGTTTTATTGGGGTAAAAAAAAAAGATTATTAGCAATTCACTTAATTTATAAACCAATATAAGATCAACTGCTTGATATATAACAATTCTCAAAAGCCTCTGGCTGCCCGGTATGGATTTTATGGTGCTGAACTGGAGCAAGGGTTAAATCGCCTTTTTACCCTCCATATAGATTTCTCCAAATGTCCCATCACGGCCTCCTTTCCGAGCATAGCGTAGTGACTCTCAGCCAATCAGAGTGGGAACTTTAGACCAATCAGAGGAAGGGGGAGGGGACTGTGTACATGGCTAGAAACGTGAGCCAGGCAGGGAGCGAACCAACGCAGTCCCAGTCAAACGCTAAATCTCTTGTCATTCTGTAATAAAACGACAGAAATAAACAATGAGTCGTGAATTTCATCCTAAAGAAAGGCAACTAATGAACCCTTTGTTTTTCAAACTAATTTCCATTGCAAAAAAGAAGAAAAATAAGAGTCGAATACATCAATCCTCCTCTCCGGTAATTACGTAACCCGTTTCCCTGAACACCGGCCATAACCTGGGATGTCACAATTTGCTAATTTGAGTAGAGCTGGCCGGGGGAAGGAAAGGGCGACCACATGGCTGACATGCTCCCAGTCGGCCCCCATGTTCAGTGACCTCAGTTCAGGCGGATAAATTCAAGACTGTTCAACAAACCTCGTCCCCTAGCCATGTGCACTTTGGTGCATCTTAACCACACCGAAGCGATTAGATATCACTATTTAATAAAAGGCGACAGCGTAGAGAAACAGAGGAGAAAAAAAACGCGTGCGCAGTCCTGGATTTATGGAAGAGACCCCGTCAGGGCCCCGGCTCACGGTACCACACCGAGCTGACACACGTCAAGAGCCAAAGCTCAAGATTAGAAGTAATGCATACATAGACCTACGCTCCAATAGGACATTTAAAGAGGACACGGTTGAATGTTTGAATATTTTATTCCAGGAAGTAGCACAAGTGTCCCCTTTCTTCAAAGCCAGTTTGAAGTAAACTAGCTTTAAAAGATTATCGAATTTCCGTTTGGTCAATTGTTAAGATAAGTGAATTACGTTTGAAGCAACGTAATTTCCATAAATATTAACAGCGAAGAATGAATGACTCAGCTTGGGACAGCGGAGGGGGAGGTGGCCATTTTTAAGTGACGGTGTTAGCCAACTCGCAGATTGTGGCCACCAAGGCCACAAAATTAAATTGTTTCCTTGCGAGGAACTTAAGACAAGGCAATGTTGATTGTCTCCACAAAAAACGACTTTAAATACGTCCAACTACGTGGGAGTTAATACAGAAACAACGACTTCAAGTATCCGGACAGTTTTTCCATAGACTACACTTAAGTGGCACTACACCTGAGACACTGAAATGAATCAAACCTTGGGATGGTGCGGAGGTCCCCGGTTCCTTTGGTCTCATCCTGCCGAGAGAACCACACCTCCAATAGCTTCTCGGTCCCCTCGAAGAAATGTGCACCGTTATCCTCCATTATGAGACAACAGACACCCAACAAAAAATATAAAACGTAGGTCGTAACGTTTTCAAGCTTAATTAAACCTTCCTCTAATAGTTATTATAGATTGAGGTACAGTCCTTTAAGCAATCCAGGTGTTGTTTTTAGGTTTCCGTCTTCCCTTTTGCAGAGAATACCGTTAGCGAGTGCTAGCTAATATCGCCGGCCATACTGTGTAAAGCCCTGAAGATGGGTCGCGTGGTGGTTTTATACCATAGCAGCACTACGTCACACAAACGTTGGCGGTAGGACCTTCCAGGGTTAATTCTGATTGGTCCAAGGACCTGTCAATCACAATTCAGAGGGATTTCCTCACGTGACATCCCGCCTGCTCATTTACGACGACTGTATAAAACAAATATAAACTGCTTTCAATTTTTTTTATTTATTTAAAGTGCTTTGTTGGTATTTGTTTTTATTCCCTGAAATTATTTAAATGCGCTTTCTGCGAAATGGAAAATATACGAAATACGTATTTATGACGGATTACATAAGACTGCACAATCACGTAGAAAAAAACGTCTGTGTACAGCACAACTGTAAATGAATGTATCATTCGTAAAAAAACGCTTGCAAAATATTGCAAATATTCACATTAACTATTCTTATTCTTCTGTTTTTAATTGTTATAATGATAATAATAATATTATTGCGATTATCATGATATCAAGAATAATTGTTATTATTATAATAAGGTTAGGGTTTATTATTATACACTTGTATTGTTGTGATGGGGTTAGAATAGGGCACAACAGCAGTTTGGCTTCACTTGAGACGCCCTCCAACATTAGGAGACGTCTATAAACACAGACATCTAAGCTATATTTTTTCAGGACGACGAGTGCAACAAACCACAGCGAGAAACGCGGGTTGTAGTTTCCTACGTTATATTCTACGAGAAGACTAATAGCAGGAGCTACTTAATAAACTACATTACCCGGCAAGCCCTGTTCGCCAATTAGAAACGTCAACGAGCCAGTGAACATTAAGCGGAGCAGACCAAAATCCCAAACAAGGAAATGGTGGGGGAATAAAACGACCAGATTATTTAATTAATGCATGTAATAATTAATATTTTATTTTATTGTAAATTAAGACGTATTTATGGGTTGAAATGGATTACGACTTCAAAACAAAGCTGGCAGCCGAGAGGGAGAGAGTAGAAGATCTGTTCGAATATGAAGGTTGCAAAGTGGGTCGAGGCACCTACGGGCACGTTTATAAAGCTAAGCGCAAAGACGGGTAAGATAATCGTGAACATCATTGTTTTCTGCTGACATCAAAGCGATTGCAGGGTCCATTTTCTGAGCACGCGTCTCGCGCGCGCGTTGAATGGGACGTTAGATTCTGAACCTCCCCGAAGCCATAACCCGCGTCTGTGTTTTTGTTTTCATGTAACGCACTCACTCACCAACGGTACACCCCCCTCCCTCCAGCTCACACACACACTCTCTCTCTCACACACACACACACACACACACACACACACACTCGCACACACACGCACACACGCACACCTCCTCCTCCCTTTCTGCCACCTCTTACCTAACACCCCAAACAACGCGTTAAAGCCGCGTTGCCGTTTATTTTGGACTCGCCTCCTCGCGGCGGGCTCCGCGCGCCCGCGGCTCGCGGAGGCGGCTTTCGCTCCTAAACCGTGCGTGGTCAGACTTTTAGCGTTGGCCACTGTTGTTTGTTGGAGTTCAGAGGTTGTTCTTTGGCCCTAACTGTCACCCGGGGGGAAGCCCCACATACTCAGTGCGGCGGGAAGGGACACAGATACGGTCTAATGCCCCCCCCACCCCCGTAAGCTACCCGTTAGTCTTAAGCCGGGAATCTCCAGCCTTTAGCCTTTGATTGGAGTTATATAACTATACGTTGTAACGAGATATAGCAGAGTGTCAGATAGTTAGAAGCTGCTTTGCGATCCTATGGAAGCAGAATTACTCAAACTGGAGGGAGTCTGGACAGATGTGGCATGTGAAAGTGTCTCCTACTTAAAACAATATTGATTCAAGCCCAGGTGTCCAGGTTACATCTACAGCTCCACATGGAAAGCTCAGATATGATGCCATTTTCTTTGCTGGGCTTCATCAAATAGGCCTAAACCACCTCTTATTGTTTTGAGAAAATAACAGAATCCTGTTAGCAACTGTACCAGGAACGGGTTATTAGACTGGATAACAAGTCTGAGGCAGCTTATACCATGATTTCTATGAGTTAACTGTTATTTGAAAGAGGGGAATAAGTCGGACCCATGTGAAATACTTAGTGTAGCGAGCTCAAAGCATGCATCAGTTGAACCACCCGTCTTCTGACCCCAAGAGTCTGAGGACTTACCAGAGTAGCTAATGCATTATATGTAGCCGACATGATCCTGTAGGCCCTGGTTTGTTACCTCACAAGAGCTCCGGGCCGTCATTAACGGGGTCTTTAGCAGCTTTATTATTACAGAGAGGATAAGTCAGAGTTAAGACCGGGTTCCTGGTTTGAAAACCTGGGGGTCAGGGCTCCTGTGAGTAGGAGACCCCCCGGTTCTCGCTCAGTGAGAGCGAGTTTACAAACTAAAAAGAAGCGGTATACACAATGGATGGATTGATGGATGGATAAAGCAGATAATGACCTGCTGTCACTGCTTTGATTTAAAAAAAAACTTTCCAGGTGAGTCAGGCTTGTTCTGTGCTAATGGGAGAACCAACATTTGGGCCCTAACTTTAGTTTAAAAGCCTCAGAAGCTCCACGCGGTCACAATGGTACACAACAGCCTGCGCTTTGGGCTGGAATCCATTCTAAGAGGCTTCCCTCAAAGCCTTTCCCTGGATCTGGATGGGGCAACCCTGAGCGGTTTGTTAAGAAAAATACCAAAAAATAATAGCGACTATAGCTTTTTGGCTCCATAAAATGCATATTTGAATCCAAAGACTCATGCGTGTGACTGTTTTCCTGTAATGGCTGACATGTGTACACGGTCCTGAGGAGCTTTACTGGCCTCAAAGAAGGATTCCCAGTTGAATCCCTTTGTTTAGGTTTGGCTTTTTAGCCCATAAAGCACATCGACATGGGAGTTTTGTTATTGGATAAATGGCACAGACAACTTTTAGATCTGGAGCTTTTACCCAGCCATTATCACACCAAGGAAAGCTGAATTTGTGTTTTCCTCCAGTAATTGTGTTTTTCTCCGGCTAATGTCCACGTGTAGGGGTCCGCCTCCTGAAGGGCGGTTTGTTGATGTGACATAATCAGGGTGATCTGTAATGCTAATGCTCAACGCGATGATTAGGGCAAACATTAATTACTAATCACAGATTAGTCTGCTGATTTCTCTCCTCTATAGATAAACATACTGTTGGATTTCTCATTTGTGAGAATGTCGCATACAATAGGACAAGAAGCCAAACTTTTGCCAACGCTTCCAGAAAAAAAGCGGAAAACTGGACAATGTCACACAAAACTAAACACATTTATTTGCATATCATTGAAAGTTTATATTTAACAAACACTTCCTATCAAATGTTATAGTTACTGTACTTTTAGAAATGAATCAAAATTGGTACACTGAAAAAGCAGTCCAGTCATTATTCCTGGATCATCTTTTTCATGCGTGTCCTAAAGCCACAAGTGGATTAACAAGTGGGAATCCACATACTTCCCTTCATCCCGAATGAATAAACCTGACTTAAGACAAATAGCCTCCGTTCCACTGCAGATTTCTCTGCCTTTGCGTTGTGCAGTGATGGATAAGCTGGAGGAAAATTCTCTCGGGCCAAAAGAAAATGTCAGGCTTTTAGTGTTAGCGAAAGTTTATTTGTATAGCACATTTTGTGTAAAGACAATTCAAAGTGCTTGACAGAGAATTTAAAAGCAGAAAAACAACATAAGAAAAATAATAAGAATTAGACAGATGAAAATACGTTCAATTTCCTCACGCACAGTTAAACAGAAGCGTTTTCAGCCTGGATTTAAACACTGTCAGAGTTGAAGCCCGTCTCACATCTTCAGGAAGTCTGTTCCCGATTTTAGGAGCATGGTGCAGAAAATGAAGCTTCACCTTGTTTAGTTCTGACTCTGGGCACCAGCAGGAGACCAGAACCTGAGGTTCTCAGAGTCCGAGCTGGTTCATGTGGCTCTATTAGCTAGTTTTTACTCACATAATTCAAGATAAATGGCGGTCCTGACAGTGTGAAGGGGACAGTGGTGGACTATGATCGGAACCTGAGGACACAGACCAGTCCTGCCCCTATCTGATGGTTCCTCCTAACTCCGGTTCCTTAATGGTTCCTTAATGGCCCTTTAACCCAGAGCTTTAATGCCCTCTTCTGCCTCTGCTTCCTAGAACAACTCTTACTTTATAATCCAACTCCAAGAGGCCAAGAGATGCTGAGCTATATTTTATAGTAAAAAAAAATGGATGCAATGGATGGATGTAATTCTCGTTTTCTGTTTTTTATCTCCACAGGAAAGATGAAAAGGAATATGCACTGAAACAAATTGAAGGCACTGGAATATCTATGTCTGCCTGCAGGGAAATTGCTGTAAGTCCCACTTTAAAAAGTCATAATATTCATCTATTTGTAACAATTGTTGCAGTTATTATCATTCATGCTGTTTGAAATAAGTGTTCAGCCACATATAATGTGTGAGGTGTGTCAGACTTGTTGTTTGTTCATAACATAGAAGCTTTTTAAGGAGGTAAAAAGCCACACTCTTCCCTCTCAACTCTCCAACTGCTGAGCCGCTTGATCAACTCTCAGCTACAGCTTTACACTTAATGCCTATTTATAGGGTTTTAAACTCTCAGTATCCTGCTTTCAGTTCACGGCCGCTGCTTGGAGAGTTAATCACATCCAGCGGGATAACGGGGATCTTTTTTTCCAAGAAAAAAACAAAAAACCTTTCATAACGATTTCCTTTCATATCCTGACATGACATTTGGTTATATGAACACACACTGCGTTTGCATTTTTAGGTTTGTGTCGGTGAAGAAAACCATGTG